TTGAAGTTCTGTTACCACCGCCCCTGGTGCAACCCCTTACGGGTTAACGATGAGGAGACAGGGACTTCCAGGGACGGTCATGGCCTGCTACATGCAACTCGTAGGAGTATGCAATGTTCCTGTAACGTCACTGTAGACCACTCTTCTGTCGTTGTTTTGAGTGTCCGATCCAAAAACCAAATCCTAGGGTACACGAGACGTGGAAGCCTGTGAGCGTGTTAGAGTCTGTTAAGTGTTAGAGTCCTAGGGCTACACGAGACGTCGTAGCCTGTGAGCGTGTTAAATCCTAGGGTTACACGAGACATGGTAGCCTGTGAGCGTGTAGACCGCTCCTCTATCGTTGTTTTGAGTGTCCGATCCAAAACCAATTCCTAGGGTACACAAGACGTGGAAGCCTGTGAGCGTGTTAGAGTCTGTTAAGTGTTAGAGTCCTAGGGTTACACGAGACGTGGAAGCCTGTGAGCGTGTTAAATCCTAAGGTTACACGAGACTTGGTAGCCTGTGAGCGTGTTAAATCCTGGGGTTACACGAGACGTGGTAGTCTGTGAGCGTGTAGACCGCTCCTCTATCGTTGTTTTGAGTGTCCGATCCAAAACAAAATCCTAGGGTACACGAGGCGTGGTAGCCTGTAAACGTGTAAAATCCTGGGGTTACACGAGACATGGTAGCCTGTGAGCGTGTAGACTGTAGACCGCTTCTCTATCGTTGTTTGAGTGTCCGATCCAAAACCAAATCCTAGGGTACACGAGACGTGGAAGCCTGTGAGCGTGTTAGAGTCTGTTAAGTGAGTCCTAGGGTTACACGAGACGTGGTAGTCTGTGAGCGTGCTAAATCCTGGGGTTACACGAGACATGGTAGCCTGTGAACGTGTCAAATCCTGGGGTTACACGAAACATGGTAGCCTGTGAGCGTGTAGACCGCTCCTCTATCGTTGTTTTCAGTGTCCGATCCAAAACCAAATCCTGGGGTTACACGTCATGTGGGGGCCTGTGAGCGTGTTAGTTTCCTGCGGAAGGTGTTATTTGCCTGTGGGAAAAGCGGTTATGCTGCGGTTCTAAGGTTAGTAGAGGCTATTAGAGCCTTTCCTTGTTGTAGAGATGGCTAGTCCCTTCCTTTACATAGGTTAGAAACACCCATGCACCTCCCGTTCGAGCCACCCACCCCACACCGCGTGGAGGTTCGGTGAGGTTTTTCGTGATAGCACTTAATGCGACACGTGCATTTTTTTGGAAATCGCGCGCGCATACAATCGGACAATTTAGTTGCGTTCTGTTCTCTTTGCTTTCGTTGAAAGTTTTAATCACCAGTCATCAGTCATGCGCAACGTTGAGCCGCGATCTATGATCTACGTTGTATTTTTTTTCAGTGTACAATTGCGAATTAATTTTATCGGTTTTATAGGATGGATACGTTTTCCGGACAAATGTTTTGCTATTCTCAGAACCCAGTTTCATGTTCTGCACTTAATAGTTTACAAAATTAAACTCTATTTTCTGCTATTATAACTGTAAACGAATTATATCAATAGTCAATAGTTTATTAGGCAGACTAGTGGTCCCGTTTTTACTTTTTGACATTCTTCATATTTTGGGGTAATTTTGTTGTTTCCAAACCACGAATGAAAAATATGATTACTATGTTCATTCTGGCGCATTACCATTATTGTATAAAACATTTCGATACAAAAACACTGTAATATTTAGCAATAAATCAAAAAGGAAACACAATTAAATAATAGTAATACTTTGGTTAGTGGGTGAAATTATCTGCAAGTCATAATTACTAGCTTAATATACTTGTACAAATGTCGCCTCAGTGGCGTAATTGGTTGATAGTCTTGGCCCTTTAACCCGGAGGTTGCGAGTTCGAATCCCAGTTGGGTCAAAATTTCGAAAATCGTCAATTATTTCATATGAAATCAATAGCCACACATTAAAGGCTTGTGTATACATGTTTCTGAAAAATAGAACTAGTCACCCACCAACGTTATTACACAGTAATATAAAATTTAATGCCATATAATACGAGCAAAGCTACTCAGTTTACGTAACAAAGGTAACATGTGAGGTGCATCGTCTAATGTTTCACCCTCCCCTGGGAATATAACAACAGAGCAGTAAACACGTGCTCTGGATAACGTTAAGTAAAGTGTAGTCAGGTCCTCCACCTCCACACTGTACCTCCTCACTGTGTACAGTACTATTACAGCTGGCCACTGAGCAGAATAACTAGCCCCACCGTTACACACTGCAATCTTACTATCAGTGTTAACACATCTCATATCAACACTGTCCTTAACTAGTGACCTTACACTACTAGTGACATCAGTAACTATACCTATATCAGAATAATTTAATCCATCCGTAGCACACAATATATCTAATTCATTATTAAATACATGCATAATACTAGTAACATTGTAATCATTAAACACATGCATGACAGGTAATGTACCGTGTATGAAGTGTCCTTGTAATTGTGTAGGTAAAATCATATCTAATACATCAGGTATTTCTGAATATAATTCTCTTAATTGTTCTCGTATTACACGTAGGATGTCAGATAAATCACATGTATTTCTAAGGCTCATTGATAAACGTACCAACTGAGTGGATGATAGTTTGAAAGTTATCATTCTTAGTTTGTCAATTAAGTCCTGTTTACTAAAACTCCAATAACCCTGTGCCATGTCACATGCAACCCTGACAGAGTACTTTAATAATAACAACTTGTCCATCAGCACACTACACTCCTCAGTTTCACTGTAATATAATAACTCCTGTATATCATCAATAAATATGTGACAGTTGGTCACAGCACTGATTGTATCTGTTAAGTTCTGTATATCCCCACTTGTTATCTCTACAATGATAACTTTACACTCACTCTCTGATATTAGAGTAACTAGTTCTGTGACAGTGAGGTCAGACATGCTGGTCTCTTGATATCCTACACTTGCTTTTTCTAATGCACGCTGATAAAGCTGACAGTTATTACCTTCACCGCCGAATTTGAATAACACAACTTTATTGTCCTCATTAAGTTGTACAAGTTTGATTATTCGACCGCAAAGTATCACACTTTTCCCCGCTCCAGCGGGTCCATTAATCCACAACAGATTCTCGCTTGATTCGAACGCTTTACATTGTTCTACTGTCAGGTTCTCCACCTCAACGAAGTTTCTGATAACATCAGGAGCTGTTACAACTCCAGGATTCGGTACACGATTCTTCCCTTTTTTTGGTAAAAATGTAAATTTTCCTGATCTGAGCCGTTCATCAATGTTTAATATGCAGTTTGCTAAACTACATTTCGATTGATCGCAGTTTTTATCGGTAGCCCAGATAGCGAGTAACATATTTCTAACTTTCTGAAAGGCATCATGATTAATTCTTGTATCTTGAGCTATTGTTGCGTTGTTATTCCACCAAAAACCAAAATTTGATAAGTCCTCGTCTGATGAGATGTCAAAACCGAGAGAAATAATTTTGCTCTTCTTCAGGGCTGGTTCCTCTGATGTTCCTGCAGTTATGGGTTCCCTATTATTGTTATCGTTGATCTTGTTACCATCGACAATGTCCTCATGAAATATCACAGTTGATAATTCTGAATCGCTTAGCTGAAGTTTTGTATCTTCACTAGCCTGGAACTGTCCTTTAAATTGATTACTGAAATTAGGATACGCAGTGAACTGCCGGATAGTTATGTCCTTGTCTATACATTGAATCAGAGATTCTATCTTCTTTCTCTGGTCAACCGATTTTGTGAACGTACCAGATAATGCTCGGAAATGATTTTCCTTGTCAACCGCAACATCATCGATTTCAATGTGCGACATGTTCTTAACTTCGATTATAACAATGGAGCCTGGACATAAAATTAAAAAATCACATTCCCCTTCCTTATTCGACGAGTTCTTGCACCCTTTGCACGTCTTTTTGTCCCGCAAATGACTCTGATCACACAAACAATATTGGTGGTGCGTGAATTCAAAGTTATGAAGAACGACGATCATACCGTCCGGTAATTTCTCCAATGCCCTATACACCATAACTTCGGCCTCATAATCAGACTGACGTTTTCGTTGGTCTCTGAAACCACTACTTTCCGGGTACCTGTCTATATACGTCTGATCTGGAGCTCTTGGCAGCATAGTGGGTCGTTTGTCATCAGAGGTGCAGAACTTGAGGAATATTTCTTGTCCGTTCTTTAAATAGTTGTCCATTGTTCAGTAAATCAAGATATTCTGAGATAAATGAAACTGTTATAAGTTTAAAGCTATTTATAGCTTTAAAAAGTATAAGTAGTAATCATAATTTGTAAATGAGATGAGGCACCGCAGGTGTTCAGGATAAAGTACGAGTTTGATTAAGGGGAGTTGTGAGAGGTCGAGTATTACGTACATATTATTACCTTAATATTGAAGATAAATGTTGATCTTTAGTAGGAAAATATCGGAAACGCAGCTTAATCTCTGACCGGACTCTGGTACCTAAAATATAATATCCTGTCAATTATTGCGAGCAATGTAGTTCATTTTTTGATAAGATTGGACTACTGATGTGTGGGCTGGAATATTTTAAATTATTGTTTAGGATGGAGAATGAGGAGCCGTATAATAGGGATGACTATTAGTCTAGATTAAAGACTTATATTGGAATATCAACTTCAAGATCTTGTAAAACAGTCAAGTGTTAGTAAACATACATATTCTTACCTTGATATCCCGAGATCGAGGTTGTTCTATTTCTAATTTAGAAAGAAATTGGAATACGCTGCTTGATCGCTTAACTGATTCTGGTACCTAAAATATAACATCTTGTTACTCACTGAGCACTGATACGAGCACTGATATGAGCAGGTTAATCATTTTGTGATTGAATATCATGCAATACAAATACAAAATATGAGAATAACTCGTATAATAGAATTTTGAAAATAATACAGAGAGGCTTTAAAAATGCCAACGATGATAAAGAGTTGTAAATCAAAGAATTAACCTGAAGTGTGCACTAGGTTCCTCTCGAGAGTTAGCAGTGATTACACAGTTAGGAAGTAGATTGAATATCTCAGTACTGAAGCGTGTCTCCAAACAATATATTCTGTTTTCAACACTGCTGCCTGTAAATGTATGCGAACATAATGATCAGCCATTAAGTGTACATCTAATTAAAAGGAGATCGATTCTAATTTTATACATATATTATTATTATATCGCCCGATGGTATAGCGGGCTCCCGCTATATCAGCGGGCTGTAACAGCGGGATATATCAGGTCTTCTAACTCGCGGGCTGCAAGGGCCTGCTGGTGCAAATATAGCCCGCTGGTGGATATACTATACATATTGCATGACGTTTTAACTCAGAATTTGACTCAACATATTTGATAACACCTACCAAATTAATATCGACGCTGCGGATAATTAAGTTGGTAAATCAGAGGAACACAATGAAAAAACGAGGGTTTACAAACTAGAGAGAACAGAGGGTTGATCACACGACATTATTAGATTATAGATGTAGAGTAATGTAATGAAATGGATGAGTCACCGGTCACGTGGTGTCACATGGTGTCACGTGGTACTGTCACATGGTGTCACGTGGTACTGTCACGTGGTACTGTCACGTGGTGTCACGTGGTGTCACGTGGTACTGTCACGTGGTGTCACGTGGTGCGCTGCAATGAGTTTCAGGATATCATGTTACTCTGCAATCTCTGCTAGAATGTGGGTTCTACAAATGGCAGTAGTACTAAAAATTATGTCATCTTTAATCATGTTTTCTCACAACTGATCGTGGCCACGAGTTTATTATTATCAACTAGTGTAACCCGTGCCTTCGGCCGGGAATTTACTGTCACAGTTGCAATGTAAAAGTATACAACCGCATTATATATTTGATATCACGCATAATGCTGTCTTATGAAAGTATGAAATCTCCCTACAGTTAAAACAAAGCGGCCGCAAGAGTGAGCTCTGATATTACGTGGGGCTACACTAATTACGGTACATGTTATCCTCCTCGTTCTCTCTCCCATCCATTTATGTCACATTTCTGGAACAAAATCATCAATTAAACCACTTACCACCGGCCGATTTTTATAAAATTTTCTTATGGGTTTCATCAGAGTTTTGTCGGCACTATACCGAAAAAACCAGTCCCGTAACTATTACCGTTTTTTTGTATAACTGTTCGGAAATTACACACAGACACACAGACACACAGACACACAGACACACACACATTCTGGTGTTATTAAGTTGATTATGATGAATTGAAATCTTGCGTGAGTCAGATTGTTATGTACATCCTGAGCTGAGTTAATGCTGTTAAATCCTGTGTAGATGCTGTGTCAGTAGCTGTATCACGTGTAGCTAATCTGCTGTTAAATCCTGTGTAGATGCTGTGTCAGTAGCTGTATCACGTGTAGCTAATCTGCTGTTAAATCCTGTGTAGATGCTGTGTCAGTAGCTGTATCACGTGTAGCTTATCTGCTGCTGCTCATTTAATAGATAACGTATTCTACGTCTGATATTACACCTCTTCCAACCGAACCGTCAGTATTATTATTGCGAAACTCACTCCCCTACGTCATCACTACAAAGGTGAAATATTGATATGATACACGTAGGGGCGTACAATCCCTACAAAGGTGAAATATTGATATGAAGAGAAGGGGCGTACAATCCCTACAAAGGTGAAATATTGATATGAAAAGAAGGGGCGTACAATCCCTACAAAGGTTAAATATTGATATGATACACGTAGGGGCGTACAATACCTACAAAGGTGAAATATTGATATGAAGAGAAGGGGCGTACAATCCCTACAAAGGTGAAATATTGATATGAAGAGAAGGGGCGTACAATCCCTACAAAGGTGAAATATTGATATGAAAAGAAGGGGCGTACAATCACTACAAAGGTGAAATATTGATATGATACACGTAGGGGCGTACAATCCCTACAAAGGTTAAATATTGATATGATACACGTAGGGGCGTACAATCCCTACAAAGGTGAAATATTGATATGAAGAGAAGGGGCGTACAATCCCTACAAGGTGAAATATTGATATGAAAAGAATTGTGAAATGAGTGCTTTTGCAGTGCCCAAGATGGCATTAGAGTTTACTTTAAGTTACAATGTTTGCTTATATACAGTGTATAATGTTGTTCTATAATAATACAATGTACATTCATAGTGTAGCCATTTACTTCGTTGGAAATCTCCAATTTTGGACAAGAATGGTATGGCACCTCCCAACAAATATTATATGTTAATTATGCCTCGTTACGTATATCTACATAATGCAAGCGAGATGAATTATGCCTCGTTACGTATATCTACATAATGCAAGCGACATGAATTATGCCTCGTTACGTATATCTACATAATGCAAGCGAGATGAATTATGCCTCGTTACGTATATCTACATAATGCAAGCGAGATGAATTATGCCTCGTTACGTATATCTACATAATGCAAGCGAGATGAATTATGCCTCGTTACGTATATCTACATAATGCAAGCGAGATGAATTATGCCTCGTTACGTATATCTACATAATGCAAGCGAGATGAATTATGCCTCGTTACGTATATCTACATAATGCAAGCGAGATGAATTATGCCTCGTTACGTATATCTACAATATAATGCAAGCGAGATGAATTATGCCTCGTTACGTATATCTACATAATGCAAGCGAGATGAATTATGCCTCGTTACGTATATCTACATAATGCAAGCGAGATGAATTATGCCTCGTTACGTATATCTACATAATGCAAGCGAGATGAATTATGCCTCGTTACATATATCTACATAATGCAAGCGAGATGAATTATGCCTCGTTACGTATATCTACATAATGCAAGCGAGATGAATTATGCCTCGTTACGTATATCTACATAATGCAAGCGAGATGAATTATGCCTCGTTACGTATATCTACATAATGCAAGCGAGATGAATTATGCCTCGTTACGTATATCTACATAATGCAAGCGAGATGAATTATGCCTCGTTACGTATATCTACATAATGCAAGCGAGATGAATTATGCCTCGTTACGTATATCTACATAATGCAAGCGAGATGAATTATGCCTGGTTACGTATATCTACATAATGCAAGCGAGATGAATTATGCCTCGTTACGTATATCTACATAATGCAAGCGAGATGAATTATGCCTCGTTACGTATATCTACATAATGCAAGCGAGATGAATTATGCCTCGTTACGTATATCTACATAATGCAAGCGAGATGAATTATGCCTCGTTACGTATATCTACATAATGCAAGCGAGATGAATTATGCCTCGTTACGTATATCTACATAATGCAAGCGAGATGAATTACGCCTCGTTACGTATATCTACATTATGCAAGCGAGATGAATTACGCCTCGTTACGTATATCTACATTATGCAAGCGAGATGAATTATGCCTCGTTACGTATATCTACATAATGCAAGCGAGATGAATTATGCCTCGTTACATATATCTACATAATGCAAGCGAGATGAATTATGCCTCGTTACGTATATCTACATAATGCAAGCGAGATGAATTATGCCTCGTTACGTATATCTACATAATGCAAGCGAGATGAATTATGCCTCGTTACGTATATCTACATAATGCAAGCGAGATGAATTACGCCTCGTTACGTATATCTACATTATGCAAGCGAGATGAATTATGCCTCGTTACGTATATCTACATAATGCAAGCGAGATGAATTATGCCTCGTTACATATATCTACATAATGCAAGCGAGATGAATTATGCCTCGTTACGTATATCTACATAATGCAAGCGAGATGAATTATGCCTCGTTACGTATATCTACATAATGCAAGCGAGATGAATTATGCCTCGTTACGTATATCTACATAATGCAAGCGAGATGAATTATGCCTCATTACGTATATCTACATAATGCAAGCGAGATGAATTATGCCTCGTTACGTTTATCTACATAATGCAAGCGAGATGAATTATGCCTCGTTACGTATATCTACATAATGCAAGCGAGATGAATTATGCCTGGTTACGTATATCTACATAATGCAAGCGAGATGAATTATGCCTCGTTACGTATATCTACATAATGCAAGCGAGATGAATTATGCCTCGTTACGTATATCTACATAATGCAAGCGAGATGAATTATGCCTCGTTACGTATATCTACATAATGCAAGCGAGATGAATTATGCCTCGTTACGTATATCTACGTAATGCAAGCGAGATGAATTATGCCTCGTTACGTTGTTATGATTGTTACTAACGATGTTACTTATCTTAGCATGGAGCTTTAGCTCACTCTTATTACAAAGGTAAGAGCAAGTCATTTCATTGGTGACAGAAGTGAATACGAACGACGCTATGGATGAACAGATGAAAGAGGTACAGGCCAGCTTGGCTTTGTTGATGAAGAACAACAAGGAAATGTCGGAAAAGATCGCAGCCCTGGAAGTAGAGAACCGGGAGATCAAGAAGAATGCTGGCAATGTTCAGGAGCGGATCCAGGAGAATAAAGCGAAGTGGGAGGAAATGAACAAGGAAGCAGTAGAGTTGCTCCAGCGGATGACATTGGCCCAAGAGGACTTGGCGAATGACAATGTCGAGGCGGAGTACTTTCAGAAGAGTTGCGCAGAAACAGTACTAGCCTGTACAATGCTGACGGGCAGTTATGGCGGAGAAATGGCCCAAGGAAGCATCAAGGTGAAACAAGAGCCAGTAGAGGAAGAAGTACTGGGGACGCCGTACGACGCGATGGGAAAGGAAGAGAGGATAGACCTATCTTTCGGACACGACGGGGACTACTCTGCAGTTTCAATGAGAAGGTTCATCGAGAGATATAAAGTTGTCAAAGAGCTGAACATGCGGGCACGACTGAGAGGATGGGACTCCCCATCCTACAGGGCTGGGAAGCTGACGCTTTGTCTGCAAGGGGAAGCATTTGACTACGTGAGTTTTGCGAGCTCCATGCTGAATCCGTGGACAAGTAACGACGAATTACTTGTAAGTAAGTTGAAGGATAAATTCACGAATGTACAGGCAATCGAACTGAACATTCTTGGGTTTGAGAAGAGTATCCAGGAGCCCAGG